TAATGTTCATTTTAGTATTTACCACAAAAGTCGACTACCATAACATATTCAAGAATGGGGAAGGTAATGATAACCATGTTCTAGATAGCGTCAGTCCAAGTGTGTCATCTCATAATACAATACATCGTTTATCTGACTCGGTTATACAATTTCCAGTAGTTAGTATGTCACAATCACGATCTTCATCATCGATTTCGAATGATACACAGATCTCAGCAGCACCATCTACACATCGAAATGATGCAGAAACAAATAATTCAGGTAAAGAGAGACATATAGAATTTCTTAGTTTAGGTACTAGTTTGTGTTGGAAGCAAACACTTTCAACTCCAAGATAATTCACACCATCATTTCAAAATTTAGATGCTAGCTGTCACACACGAATATTGTCCTTTCATTTTAAAAGTAACGGCATGCCAGCCGATGATCATCTAATATTGTGCCGTATTTTATCAATAATACTTTTTATACTGGCGTCCCTAATTGAGACGATAGTATATTCAAATTCATTAGTCCCATCATTTTCATTACGATTTTTATTTGGTTCGACATTTCCTCTATATGAAATTTCTTCGATTCTTTATGCTTCTGGTGCGGTAGCTTTTGGGATATCAGTGGAAATGTACATATTCCTCTTATTTGGGATTCTGAATTGTGTATTAGTGGTAATAAATTGTGATCATGTCGATAGAACTTTAGCTATTATCTGGATACCAAAAACAGTTTTTTTATTATTAGCGACGGAATTAAGCTATAGGAATTTTATAAAATTCGATAAACATAAAGAAAATTTTAACAAAGCTGCTAGTTTTATGTTAAGGCAATCGTTACTTTTCACAGGTACCATGTTAGCTCTTGTAGCACCTGGTCTTCGAGCTGTTTACAATAGTATCGATATAGACAATAATAAGCGAAATTGTACTTATCATAACCGGTTTTGTAACGTAATTGAAATGTACGAACCATTATTTAGTAATGGTGATCCGTGTGAGGATGATTATGTACAATATGTGACTGGAAGGGAAGAATTGAGACTTATAAGAGATTTAATATTATTAAACATGGGATCTTATGCCATGTTCAATAAACCGTTTTTATCTATTGGTAATTGCAGTCAATATCTTTCTCGTTGGTGGCAAACAATGCGACGTAGAACCACAGGAGTCAGCCCGGTAACTTCACAATATATTGTCTCCAATGAAAACACCGTCGATTCACGTAATGCTCAGAATGATCAAAATACCACACAGGACGAAATATTGTTCCAGTCAGAAAAAGCGAACACGATGGTTTACTTTGCAAGAGTATTTATATTATTACTCTTCGTGATAATTGGATTTTCTATACTAATAGCAAATATTAATCCGTTCTATTATACAAATAAAGTAAAACTTCCATTTGACATTCTCGAAGCAGGAATGTTTCTTATTATGCTTATCCTGTTGTGTGTAAGTTTACGTTACCAAAAGTCTGGAATAGAAATGGCCCCAAAACCGGACATTCTAGCTCGTTCTTAGCCACATATCTTCACATTGAACAATTCTTTTATTTTTTATTCAAGTACATTGATGTTGTTCCATCTACATACCCCTAAAGAAACGTTTTAAGTCCAAAACGAAGAAGAATGATAATT